CACCCGGAGTCTCTCACCGTCATGGTAACGGGCGGTGATCACCGCCCGGCCCCGAGGGAGGGACCGGCGGCGCCCCGGGGCTTGCCTGCCGCGCGCATGGACGTCCGCGGGGCACCTTCTTGCCTCAGGAGAGGCCGGGGGTGGGAGGCGGGATGTTGGGCCCGCGGCGCGGACCTGGCTCGTTCCCCGCGGGAGACGCTGGCAACGCTGCCGCCCTTCCCGGGGGCGCCGAGTCCTTCCTGGCGGCGCTGCCGCCCTTCCCGGGGGCTGCGGGGCCTCTGCCCAGCATTCCCTGGAGCTGCATTAGGGCAGTGAAGCCCAGCGGAAACCCGTTGCGCACCTGCTGGTTGTTGGTGCACAGTGCACGAAGGTGCTTAACACAACTTCAAAAGCTCTGTCTTACGCTTTTCTTACACATTGTGACAGGTTTTCTCCCCTGCTCTCCAAATCTTTATTGCAGGCTTACGCCAAATTTTCTGGTGCTCCCCTGACAGTGAATACCATAAATAACTCCTGGAGAGCTCCGAAAGGTACCATCTTTGCAGCCTTTATTACTCTAATCACAGCTATGTTCTAAATGTAGGTTTCAGTTTTTCTGTATTTCCCGTGTTTGCATGGGGTTTGTGTTCATGAGTGCAGTCTGCCCCAATTGAATGACTATATAGGATCAAGTGTGATGAATTTGTGAGAGTGAAATAATGGAAGTCATAAACAAAAGTCCTGCTCCAGAGGACAGTTTATTAAAATGTGTATGGGTGAGGCAACAGACAGTTAACAAAGCAGTAATGCTGAGTATATAACTTTCAGGCAGACAGACTGAATTGATGGTATAGTGAAAGTAAATTTGTAAGCTTTTTGCACTTTGCATATTTATAAAGGTAGTAACTAGACATGTGCATGGAAGAGCTCTTTAGTTACCTGTAGCTTAATGGGTTGGTACAGTTGGAAATGGAATGTGAGCCTCAGCAAGTACAGCTTACACTTGTGGGGTTGTTTGGTATTGTGCTGATTTAGAGGGTTTGATTGAGAAAAGGTGAAGGTAAGCTCTCAGAGAGGACTTCTTTGGTTTGGATGCTTCTATTCATTGCTTATTTCTTTGCTCAGCAGTTACTGTCTTGGTGCATTTGAGAGAGGTAAAATCACTACAGGGTTAAAGTGTTCTGCGCTTATACTTAACCACATTATCAGTTCAGGCAGTACTGTATTCATGCAGAACTTGAGCCTTTGGTTCTTGTTTTCAAGTGTTTTCTGTTAGGAGAAAATACCAAGAACTATATGGGCGGACTTTGCTAGGAATTTGGTCGCTATCATTGTAAGGAAAATACATAAAATCAATTTAAAAAGCAGTTTATATAATAAGTGTTAGTGGTAATTGATATTTTCATATTATTTAGTACTGTCCTGTTGGGCTCATTCTGGCAATTCTGTTGTGGATGTGCTGTGGTAGCCCCCGGTGCAGACTTTGCATTCCACAGCCTTTGATCCTGCAATCTTATGACTAAGGGCTGTCCAGTCACCTTCTGGCAGAGGGAGAGTATGTAGTTCTTTGAGTAATTCATGATTATGCAGTGGTAGCTTGGGCATTGTTTGTAGCAAGGCTAGAGAGAAAAGATGGTTAATATGGATGTTGAGGGGAAAGACAGAGGAAAAATTGAAAAGAGGCTTAAAGGTAGATGAGTTGAGAGGGCAGTTGGACTGAATGGAATTTTTGTCCTAAGATGAACATCTGAAATTCAGACAAGTGGCCTAGTTTTCAAGGTATTGGATACATAGCAAGAAACACTGGCTTCAGTCTCATTTGATGTTGCCCTTTTTTATGTTTATTATTAGTAAAGACCACAGTAGATTAAGAGACTAACCTTGGTGATATGTGTAAAATTTTATGTTTCTCATGCTGTGTAAAATTTTATGCTTATGTTTACATGTTAGGAAAATTAGAGCATGCTATTGAGAAAAGGTAAGTACCTACAGTGACTGATTGCTTTCCAGTTAGAACTCTTTTATATAAATTGTTGACTATTATTTATGCCTTCTAGGAGATCTGCCACTTCTGGTATCAGAAGATATTGTTATTTCTCAGCCAGCAAAAATACTGAACTTCTTAAGAAAGCAGGTAGGTCTCTTTCAAAAAGATTTGTTTTATTTGACTTGCATGTCTCCTTTGTACGCTGATTGAGGCTTCCAAAAACCAAACTAGAGTTTAGTTCAGACCCAATAGTTTTTTGTTTCTCATACATGCATAAGAATTGCAAAATGGTAGATAAGAAATAGATCCTTAAAAGTTTGATCATTACTTGTGTGAAAGATTTAGAAATAAGCATTAAAAAAATTAATTGAAACTGACAACAAATTATCCCTAATTGAGCAGTTTGTTACTGATTACCCTGGTAGTAATTATAATACTTTTAATGCCATTATGACTTTGCAGACCTAGGATATCATCGTTTATGTTAACAGTTTAAATGGGTGTGGTGGGTTTTAGCACTAGCTAAAATCACCACATCATTTCCCAGTGCTCTTTTTTTGAAAAATAATACATACAGCATTGTTTTTAAATCTATGTATTTTTCCGATAGCTTGTAATGTAAAAATGTCTACACACATTTCTTGGTGCACACCAGGTTATTGCCTCTTGCTTGCCTTTTGTAGGACTCTTAATGTTTTGTATACAAGGAATAAAGCTGTACAATTTCTTCTTTTTACAAAATATAAAGATATCTAATAAACCATGACATTACTTTTTATTTCCTAAGGTGGTCCTCTAGCCCACTATTCTGCTTCTACATTAGAAATGCAGTTCCTTTGTGGTCAGGTGACCTGATGAATGCCATGTTAGTGAAACTTGAAGCTTCATGGGGAGAAAAACGGAATCTGAAAACTGCATTTGAGTTGGAATTTTAGACAGTTGTTTTAAAATTCTGAAGTTTCACATTCATTTGGATTGAGTTTGAACTTCGTATTCGTGTGAATAACAAAGGGAAAACTCTTTATGTTAAAGTGTAACAATTGTATGCTTGCTTTTCAGATGTTCAGGTGTCAGCACTGGCCCTTAGTTTATACATTAATGAAGCAAATTTACTCCTCCCTCCAAAATTTTTCAATCCTTATAATGTATTTTAGAAGAATCCAGTGTTAGTATTAAAAGTTCAGTGAGTAATTGCATTAATTTAGCTGTATATGTGTTCCCTTACATTGTTACCATCCAATTTCTTAACTTTTAGAATGTTCATTAAAAGCAAAATATGGGGATGCGTGCTTTTTTTTTTTTACACTTACACCTGGTGAAGTGTCAGATTCTTCTTGAAAAATAACAGTGGAGACTTACCAGAGGCACATCCCTGGGTATTGAAAAATTGCCTCTGTATCACTGGACATTTGCTTGGAAACAAATAGGAAAGAGACACAAGAATTATTTTGGAAATAGGAGGACCCAAAGCTCTAGGAATGGGAAAATGGAAAAGCAAGATGGAACAAGGTTTGGTAGAGTTGCCCTGCAGAAGGAAAATTCTAGTGAGTGCATGCTTGCTATTCAAAAAAACGTTTCTATTACTGCCTTGATAGGTGTTAAGTTTGAAGTAACTTTCCATTAATAATGTTTTTTGAAAGTGCTGCTTGAGTCTATTTTTTTTAATTCGTAGAGATACAATGCTGATTATGATTTGTCTGCAAAACAAGGAGCTGATACACTGGCATATATTGCACTACTTGAAGAGAAGCTGCTTCCTGCTCTGGTAAATATTAATAAATACTTTGTAGTGGTCAGAATATTTGGAATTGAATGCTGTAAGAGGTGCCCAATGTGAGAGACATTAAAGTCTCTCAGCCACACCCCTGGCTGGAACATAGTTGTTTTGTTAGTCTGGTTTTTGGAAATACTGCCTAGCAGCTTTTGAAAAGGAAGTAAGTGTGTGTTTGTGGAGTGTCAGATAGTAATAGTAGATTAATGAAAGACATTTTAAAAGGACACTTACTTGGTTGTGTTTTTTTGTTCTGTTGGTTTTTGGGAAACAGTATCCTGAAAACATCTTATTGTGGCCATTTTTTATTTCATTTGATTTCCTGAGAAAGCTTTGATTAAGACGTATCTGATGTGAGACATAAAACTGAAAGCCTTTTGAACTGTTAAAACTTTCAATAAATTAAAATGCCCATCACTAGCTTAATTTTTCATTTTTTAATAAAACACAGCCATTTGCCCTCACTATTTCAGTATAATTACATTAGAGCTATAAGACCCACAGACAGAGTCTCTTGAATGATTTTGGCTTCAGTTGTACAAATACTCTGACCAGATGGTATCATAAGCTAGTCATTTCAGCTGACCCTGGTTTCAAATTCATAATTTCATAAGATCTTGTATTTTAAGATTTATATAAAGCTTCAAAATGAAATTCCAGAAAGTTCAAACTTGTTGCTGTATATCTGCAACTTTATTTTTGTAATATATTTTCAATATACTGTTTGTGTATGTGTACCTGTACATACATAGCACATACATAATTTTATGCATATAGATTTCTCTAATATCAATGGTGTTTTTCTTTATTTGGAAGGTAACTATTGCCTTACTCATGTACTTCTACGCTGAGGATTAGTATATTCCTCTACAGAGACTGGTAGCCTTAAATTACAATAATTCCTGGTTCTTCTGCTTTTCTGAGAGAGGTCTTGCATATCAAGTGTCATGAGATGTCTACTCATGTCATTCAAATTTTGGTTACATTTTTCCTCATGTTGATACAGCTGCACACTTTCTGGATTGAGGCTGAAAATTACTGCAGTGTGACAAAGCCATGGTTTGCCTCAAGGATTGCCTTTCCAATGAGTTTGTATGTGCCTGGAAAGATGTCCAGGGAAGCGCTGAACAGGATCTTGCTGACCAAGGGAGGCCCTCCACTCTACAGTCTCACTGAAGTGGAAGCACAGGTATGTATTGTGCAGTAAGGAATTCATAAGTTGGTTCTTCAGAGACAAGAACTGAAACAGTCTAGCACACTGTCAAACAATAAATGGTGCTGTGCACACCAGACTGGCTACACCTAGGGCTCTTAGACAGTCTTGTGTCTCATCAGATATACAGAGATGCCAAGGAGTGTCTAAATCTCCTGTCAAAGAGATTGGGAACATCTCAGTTTTTCTTTGGAGATACGTGAGTATGATTTTTATCTTAAATTATTTTGGTAAATGACTAATAAAAAAGGTACCACTATATGAACACTTGAACTTTGTTTTTTTTCTTTTTAACCTACCAGAATGTTAAAAGTGCTTCCCAGTAGTTGTCTGTCACTCTGCTTTTCAGATAAATCTGAATGAGCAAACAGGGCACAAAAGAGATCATCAGACTGAGTCAATGTGGCGTCTCTCTTATCCTGCTTTTTTCCACAGAGAGGGAAATGCTGTCCACAGCTGCTAAGAAAATGTGAGGTGCACTGGAGAATACTTTTCTAGCCACTGAATGTCACCTCCTGGCTTTGTATGTAGAAAAAAGTGCTTTAGGCTGAGGTGCTACTATTGTCCTCATGGGAGAAGGGCATAGATCCAGGAGCACTATTCCTGTGGTATGTGTGCAGAGCAAAAAGCAGATAGGGCCAACAGCATAGAGCTAGCAGTTCCTGAAAAGCATGATCTCTTCTTTAGCTGTTGAAATTGGACCACTCCATGGGGGAGGATCCTGGTCCCTGGTCCCCAGCATGACTTCCGTGATGCCAGAAAGGTGTTTTAGAGTGCCTTGCTTATCACTGTATGGGATAGCATGACTGTGTTACAATGCTGACATTACTGCTTCAGCTTGCCAGCATGGCTATAGTTAAGATAGGTTGTAGAAGTCTTAGAAGTCTTATCTTGAGTCACTGCAGTGTTTGCTTGTGTCGCTCTTTTTAGGCCTACCACCTTGGATGCCTTTGTGTTTGGTTTCCTTGCACCAATTTATAAGGTGTGCTTCCCAAGGGTACAGTTGCAGGAGCATTTGAAACAACTTCCCAATCTGTGTCGATTTTGTGATGATATTTTAACTTGTTACTTCAGGTTAACTGTCTCAGGTAAGTTGTGGCTTTTTTCTCCTTTTTGTCATCTGTACTTCTGTTTGGATTAGTACTTCCGGTTTCCATTTGTGAACCAAGGCAGATTAAATTTCATGTATTTTATGTGAGACTTTCTATGGGGAAGAAGACACTTCTAAAGTTGGGCAGAAAGGACTCAAAAGCAAGTGTTAATACTCAGTTTTACATTCTGTCAAGCACTGGTAAAACCTTACAGCTCACACTTAGTACTCCTGATTTTCTCACATGGAATGGCTTTTACACTTAAATTCTTCTTTGCATAAAAATACTGCATGAACTCTCTCTCCAATATGAGTTTATTTTTTAAGAATTTAAAAGCTTCTGTAAATACCTTTTCACTTTTCATCTTTCTACCTTCACTCTCCAGGCCATTCTCCAGCTGGACAGGATACAGCAGATGCTAATCTGCAGAAACTCACACAGCTTGTAAATAAGGAATCCAACTTGATTGAAAAGGTTACTTTTGCTTCAGTATCTTTAATTTTACTGCTTTGTTGTGGTTACTTGTTCACAGATATCCTTGCATGGCAATTGCAACTGTACAGTGGACTGTATTTTAATTACTTCTTTTCTAGTGAGTTATGTTGTGTAGAGAGGCGGGAAGAATATTACATCATTTGGAAGGCGGAATTAATGAAGCCTTGCAGTAAAAAAGTATTTTTAATACAACCAAAAGATCATTGTCTTGCAGGTGTGCACAGCAACACACGGCGGAGTGGTATCTTTACACAAGCTCACATTCAGCAAAGAAAAGGAGGCAAATGTATTGGTCAAAACTCAGAAAATTTTCTGCAAATTAAGACTGATCATCAGCTTTCCTTGCTCTCAGTTGCATGCTGTAGTAACTAACCAGCAGTCACTGTTCTCCTGCTTGTTCTACATCTAGCTGTTTTTCCTTACGTTCTTTGTTTCTAAGGCTGTCACTCAGCACCTATCAAAAAGCTATACAACTTAACTGAAAAATACTTAGGAAGAATTAGCCTTTTCATGCAGATAGAACACTATAACTGAAAGGGTAGAAGCAATTTGTTCCTGGAAATGATCAGTGTGTGAAATAGATCATTAACTATGATCAGCTTCTGTAGCATTAGGTATTGATACTCTTTCTGACATTGAAGTGTGGCTGTGGAACTTTTAAGCAGTGGGTTACATAGACGTTTGTAAGGCATGATTGAGGAAAAACTGATTCTGCCTGGAAGAAATGGAATAGACTAGGCAGCCTTTGCAGCTCTCCCCTGTGCTTTTATTCTGTACCAACTAAACTTTTTCAGATCACTTCACACATAGGGCATTAGAGTGATTTCCTATGAAAATGTGAATTGTTTATATTCAGAGATTAATTTTAACCTGTCTTTGAAAAGGTCTTATTACAAGTGCTTTATTACATATTTTTTGAAACACATAACTAATACAAATTCACTAATCATCTCCAGAATATTTCTGATTTCAAAAGATTTATTCTTGCATGGTGCTGAATATACAGAAGCATCCATTGATGTTAGCAGTTTGACTTTTGATCTGCGTTCTGACAGCATTTGGTTATTGTACAATATTTGACCTCTTAGAACTGGTGTTGCTTCTTTCAGTAAACTTGACCAAACGACTTGAGCAGAAGCACATCCAGGTGCCCTGGGTTTGATGCACCATATGTAAGGCAATGATGAGCAGCTCTAACACAGGCACATATTTGGGAGTGGAAAGAAACCAAAGCACCAGTTGCTGATGATCCTGACAGTAAACATAACACCAACCCAGTATTAATGGTGGCAGCCCTGACAAGTAAGACTAATCATAGAATCTGTATTCTGCTGTTGCCAGATCCGGCTCTCATTGTTTCTCTGCAGATGGATGACAACCTTCGTAAGAGTCCTCAACATCCCCCTCGTAAGCTCACAACACTCAAGCTTGCTGCAGGTGGAGAAGAAACTAGTCCAATGAGTCGTTTATCACCTTGACATCTCTTGCTGCCCATATACATGTGTTTTGTAACTCAACTGAGTGCCACAGTAAATTTTTTTCACATGAATGTTTTGCAAGGGAAGAATCTGCTAATGGGTACAAGTAGAGAAGAAATAGAGCTTTACAGTCTTCTATCTACCTGTTCTTTTAAGAAATTGTATAGATCAGGCTGGCCACACACTACGCTGAAGCTAAGCTAAGCTAAATAAAGCTTGTTACTGCAGATGTTAACATGATTTTGTACAGCATACTTTTGCCTTTAGCCTAGCAGAAATGTTTACCTAAAGTTAAAAATCTGCTTATGGAATGTTCACTGTTACTTTATTTTGTGGGGTTTGATTTTACTGTAATCATGTTACTGTATGTGAGTGGATATACTCTTTGTCTCAGAAGGACAAAGTCCAGTTGCAAAGTCTGAAAAGACAAAATGTTGCCATTCATGGCAGCTGAGAAATGAAAAAAAAGACCGGAAGGTAAATATTTTTGTTGTGCTTTAATGAACTTGGGATTTGTGTTTTATGGTGGTTTGTATCTTTGAAAATTTGTCATGTTGTACTTTGAAGGGGATTATTGATAAGCATGTGCGCTATGGGGATTAAAATGATGCACAATGCTAACATTTCACAGTACCTCGTATTAGTCCTTTGTGAAACAGGCTTAACCTGTGCACAGAGTAATACCACATGCTGCAGAACTGTTAAGTCAAAATCACAGAAACCTTGTAGTGGATGGAGGCATTTGATTAATTGCTGTCAGGACGAGACTTGACTAGCAAACGTACTGCATCTATGGATTGAAAGGGACTGGTTAGGGCTTTATAAGAAACCTGATGTAGGCTTTTAAATGTGTCACAAATGCCTCTTAATTAATTTAGTCTTATTTTTTAGTAAGCACTACAGTTCATTCAAAATTTTTGTTACATGATGGTCTATCTAGTTCTGAGCTGTTTTCTCTTGGCAAATTGTGGTATATTGCAGGACTTATTTTTTCTGTTCAGTTATGTTTTGTATTTAACAGAAGCCTTGCCAGTTCTAGAGACCCAAGCAATTCTGTTACAAGAGAGATGCTGTAAATTTTTACTGGCAAAGTACTGGCAGATGCTTCATGAGTAGGTGTAAAGAGAAGTAGACAAGGAGATTGGCCAAAATGGCAGTGCTTGGGATACAGAATTCTGATAGCTGTGTGTGGGATAACTGTTCTGGGGTTTTTTTTTGGTTGTTTTTCTGGACAAATTGAAATAGTCTTTCAGCTTCCCTTTGGCTACTAGTCATGTTTGAGATACACAGATAAATTCCTTCCTATTTGTACAGAGAAAATGGTAGATTGTATACACATTGTACCTTTGGAATTGATATGTAAGGAATGTAATATCTTAAACATTTCTTAATTGAAATGTTTGGTTTCTAATGAGCACTTTAAAATACTTCATGCTCTTGCTAGAGTATTTGTTGCAGTGATTTGAAATTGATTTAGCTCATATTCATGATTACTGTATAAACTTACAGTCCATTACATGCAAAAGTAATTTAAATGTTTAAAATTTGTACTGCCTGTACCTTGACAGGATTTACGTGAGATCAAGTCACATAGCTTTCAGAGCTTTTACAAACACGGCTATGGAGAATATGCCTTAGTTTGTAGCTTTTGTGAATACATGCACTCAACCTATAAAATCTCTTTGTAAAAAAATGTTGTTATTCCAAGATTAAAATTCTGAATTTTTAGTGGAATTTGGGTAGAGTTTATTTTTTGTGGTATATTCATTGCGTTTTTTGAGTGTTTTTCTTTTTTCCTTGTAGAAAAGTTTATCTTGTCCATTAAAAAATAAACCAAACCCCTGCTGACTGGTAGGACAAGAAATTGAAGCATATCCATGAGATCAGATTTTAAATTTTTAACACACCTCTTCAGTACCATTCCTTTCTTTCAACACAACTGCTTTTGGTAAAGGGGGAATGAGAAAGCACACGTTTGCTGATCTTACGAAATGTGAGCTTTGCGCTGTGTGATTGGGTCAGTCTGAAATTTTGAGAAACCAGTACTCAAGGAACTTCTTCACCTGATGGCAGAGGATAACAGGGCTGGAGATCACAGCAAACGTTGCCTGAAGTCATGCAGGCAACCAGTGAGGTTGCAGCTCAGCCATACACTCCCTTATTTTGCTTTCTGTCCAAGGTGAATTCAAACCCAGACCTCTTAATGTGGGCAGTGTCATCCCTGGCCTGGTAACTTGTGCTTGCCTGTTAGTTTACTTGCATATTTTGTGTGCCCGAGTTCTGAAGCTGGGAGGTGAATGCTTTCCAGGATGGGGTCAATTTGAGTAACTCTCTGCATCTGAAATAGTCAAAGCTGCTTCTCTGGCTAGGAGAGAAAGATGGGATTGAGGTGTGATATGTTTCCTTAGAGCAGATACCTAAGAACTGAGTCCTGGATATGTGCTGTGTCTGCTGTGTGCAAAGGAAGCCCTAGCTGCCTAACTCTACCATAAGATGAAAACCTGCTGTGGTGATTGGCTTTTCCTCCACTGCCTGAGCTGGTGGATGGTCTGAAACACAAGGAGTCAAGCAGCCTTCTGTCTGGGTAGCAGTGGTGTGGCCTTGGAACCACAGTTTGCAGCATGCTTCCTGTGCAGAGCACTGGCTGCTGCAGCTTCTGCACTCTGCAGTCTCTAAATACTTCAGGCTCACATGGTCATGTCTGGCTTTTGGTGCACACATCTACAGTGTGCAAGAATGGGATATAACACTGTTTTCAGGGCCTTGCTGCTACCACAGCAGCTGATAAGCCTCATCCTCCTTACCCTCCCCCTGAAAAGGTGGTGGCTAGGAACAGATAACTCCCTTGGAAACAACTTCTTCAGGCGCCAGTCATAAATGGAGTGGACCACTTTGGCAGGTTGCAAATTTAATGCCCTTACTCCCAGGCAATTTTCTGGTGAAAGCTGTATGTAGATATCCCTTAGGGCTATTTTGTTTTCCTGTGTCACCTGGTTGTAGGAATATATATATTCCAGAATACATGAGATGAAAAAGGTTACAAATTAATAGCTGCAAATATATTCTATGTAACATTTCCAAAACTGCTTTAAAAATGTCAGCCCGTTGCTTCCCCTTCTCTCTTCCCCCTCCCCTCCCTGATCTGAAAATACTGTTATATTAGGCTTTTATGTACACTTATACATTCATGATGTCACATCGCTTTTGCTAATGTACCATAACACTCTGTTAAGAAAAAAACATCCTATTTGATTCCTGGTTAAAATGGTTTGCAGACTCCCTTAAGTAGGTTTCTTTTGCTTGATATTATTCTTGGCATTGCAGCAGAAACTATTCATAGTGCTTTTTTTTTTTTTTTTTTTTTTTTTTTTTTCCTTATTTTTTTTTCTCCCCATCCAGAAAGGCAGAGCAGCTTTATATGTTAGGCTGACGAACTATACTGTAGCTCACAAAACTGGATGGTCTATGCAATTGGCAACAAGCTGTCCTAAATAGTTGATCATAGGCATGTTTCTTGGTGAGAAGCTATTCCCCTTGCCCAGCCACTTGCCAGGCATATTGTATGTGATATCTCTCTGCTACTCTGTTGTTCTGCATCTGTGTGAGACCCAGCTATGCCAGGGTAATGGTGATGTGGGTCTTAATGCTTCTGTAGTGCTTTGTGCCCTGGTCTGGGCAGCAGACCAAGCCCCACTCTATGGTCTCCTCCTCACCCAATGGGGGCCTGCCCAGCAGAGAGGAGTACATTTCAGCTCCCTAAATATATCAGATCAGGTTGAAATGAGAACCTAGGAAGAAGAAGGAAAGAAGAGGTGATCAAGGAAGAGGCATCAGGGGCATCTGTTTTCATCCTTGTCAATGACTTGTCAGAGTTTTATGAGTGTCACGGTATTTGATTGAAAGAGTGCTTCAGGAGTTACAATATACTGATCCTGTGGGCAAAACATGGGGGGAATCCAGTGGCTTGCTGGAAGTTTGTTAAAAACAAATTATTTGTAATGTGCTAGGTCAGTCTGCCTCAGTGCAGGACCTAGCGAGCAAGGTTTACTGTGTTTCATTTAAAGTTAAGCTGAGACCAGGAATCACTGTTTATCTAGAGTAAATAAGATCTTGCAGTAAATCAGCCCATGGCACAAGGATTTTCCTCAGTGCTGTTCACCTTCCTTTTGCTCTTTATCTTTAAAATCACATTGGTTTTATTCATCACAAATGTTAATGTTCCAAATTTGTATATGTTCAAGTGTCGCACGTGGGTTCTTGTTGCATGTGTTGGTGATTTACTGTTATCAAAATTCAGAATGTGGTCCTTCATTTAAGCCCTCAGTGCATAGAAATTATATGCCTTGAGTATCAAGCAGCTCATTAAGTAGAAGCAATTCTTGTGTAAACATTCAATGCTCTAATCAAATTTACCAAGCCGTTTTGACAAGGGCAGCTAGGCAGCCTGCCAACTCAGACAGACACCTCACAGTTTTTGTTTTCAGGAACAGAGAGGTGAGAGAGGGAGAGCACAAACAAGAAAGTAGAAGTCTCTGCAAAGCTCTAGCTTACCCAAAGCAACCTTCAAGTGATAGAGGTTGAGTCCAGTTTGCTTGTATTGTCATTTGCTGTCGTGAAAAGAAACATACAGTGAACATACACTGGGCTATGTATGTTCAGGCCAGGATTTCACAGTGAGTTTTGCTCTTAGTTATGACCTCTAGTGAAAGACATCTCTGAAATTCTCTTCAGTAGTACATTACAACTTGTTGTGGTTTGACACTGGTTGAAATACCAGACATCTATGAAAACTCTTCATTCATTCTCCTCTGCTATAGTTGAGCAGAGGAGGCGAAAAGAACACAAAGGGCTCATGAGCTGAGATAAGTATTAGGAGAAAACACTAAGGGCAAAACAGGCTCATATTTAAAGGGTATAAAGAAAAATTCATTAACATTTAAAAAAGGGTAGTCTTCCCAGCCCCTCCCTCTTTCCCACTAACAGTGCAGGGAGTCAAAACATGGGTTTTTTTGGTCAGTTCATCACTTCTAATTTTCTTCTCTTTGTTCAGGAGAAAAGGGTCTTTCTTCTGTTGTACTGTGGGGTCCACCCCAACAGAGACAGTTCTCTGTGAACTTCTCAACTTGGCTCTCTTCTTACGAGCAGCAGCCCCACCCAATCTTCTGCAAAGGTGAGTCCTTCTCATGGGCAAAACAAACTTCCTGAAGCTGTTGCCTGTGAGTCACTTGTCCACATGAGAGCAGGTTTTTATAGCTCCTTTGGCATCCACTCGCTCTGTCATGCAAGTGGACCTCTGCATGTCTCTTGTGGACCCAATGAGCTGTGGGGGGATAGCTTACTTAACTATAGTCTTTTACCACAGTTTGCAGAAGAAAATTTCAGCTCTGGTGCTTGGAGCACTTCCTCTCCCTCTTTATTTGCTGACCTCAGTGCTGCCATGTTGGTTCTCCTCATGTGTCTTCACCTTTTCCTATTCTCTGACTCAGAAGAAAATTGTTGTCCATAGGTACTATTGTTCTCAAGTTCTGTCAATTGAAAAGTTCTTACAGGATTTCACAGTGCTGAAAGACTGGGCCCATGCTGAGGAGTTGCTCACCATGTTCCTGCCACTGGCCATCCACAGCATAGGCGCCATTCTACATCTCTCCCGCAGCGGGGGGCAGGAAAGGAAAAGCTGCTGCTGGTGCCCCTGCCCTTCTGCCCGCAGAGCATCTGGCTCAGGGCAGCCAGACAAGCAAGGCTTGCTGGCTGTATGGTCGCACTGGCTGCATGGATGCTTGTGCGCCAGGATGGCTGCAGCTGCCTCACCTCCCCACACCCCTCAGAAGAACTGCTTATGGCTTTGATTTCCAATTTCCATTTATTTCTTAAATATGTCATCATACAGGTGTTACCAACTTCTCTAATTAGCTTAGCAGCATGTCTGTTCTCAGAGCCAGCCAAGGATTGGCTTTGCCAGGCATGGAGGAAGCTTCTAGCAGCTTCTCACAGAAAGTCACTTCCATGGCTCTCCTCACCAAAAACCAAGCTACAACTGTTCAGCAGCAGCCATGATAAGAGGAAGAGCTGCAGCACCTTCATGGCCAGTGACAAGTGTCCTGCTGAAATTGCTGTTGGAAAAAGCTATTTTTTTACACCTACATGCTCTACAAAGAAATGTAGTGATTTGGACAGGAAGGATTGCTCATACCCAGACAGAAATTTGGAGGGGAGGGAAGGGAACTGATGGATATGGAACAGGCACAAATTCTCCTAGCTGGTACTCTGTGATTACGTGGGAAAGGGATTTCAGCTCTCTGCTCTGAATTAAGGAAAGTGAGAACTCATTTTGGCTGCTCCACAGCTCTTGGCAAGTGTCTGAGCCAGTGGATTAGTAGCTTCTCTGCAGTGGGCAGACGTACCTTATTTTTCACAAAAATCCATGTGAGGTCCTGTTTCCTTGGTGCAGGATATGAAAAACTCAGAAATCCCCTTGGCTTCCATGGGGTAAGAAAGCAGTTTCCCATCTGTTCTATTTGCTTTCTTAGCTGTGCACAAGGATTATTCTGTTTATCTGCTGTCCTTATTTTAGCTGAGCCAGGTAGCTGTCTTTGCAGACAGAAGACAAAGTGTTGAAATGGTGTTGGCAGTTGGTGGCACCCAGTGCAAGGAACATAGCAACAGAGTGACATGCTTAAAAGGACTGAAGGAGGCAGAATACTTACTAATTTTTTCCTGAAGAATATTTTGTGGGTGTCACCCTATCTGCTAGATACTGCCTCCAGCAATGGGCAGTCATGACAGCAATCCCCAAGGGCTCTGAGCTGCTTGCTGCCCTGATCAGTAGACATCAGTTTACACCAGAGACTCCAAAGAGAAGTAGGACAGCTGAAATGACAGTCCCCCAGTAAAAGACAGTGGTCACTATCCACATTTCTCCTCAAATTACCAGCTTAGCTTTCTTTTGGGTCAGCCTCAGGTCACACTTAAGTATGCTTAATGTCAGTTTGGTGTAGAAGGCTCCTGACTTATGTTGGTGTATCTTGACACTGATGCTGTGCCAGTTTGCTCTCCTGCAGTCCCAACAGATAGAGGAAGACTGAACCTGAAGGTTGCCAGCTGTCCATAAAATTGCTCATCATATTTAGCTGGGGAAGTTCCAACACATGTTAGGATGTTAAAATTCCTGTTTTTACAGCTTTTGTCCTGGTATTTAATAACTGGTTGGTACTAAGAGACAAGACAAATAAATATAGATGTCCTGTCTTGGGACATCAGAAAATCACCCATAGCTGTGACAAGGATTGATTCTGAAACAAACCTCATGCAGAGCTTAAATGAGGGAAGCTGTGATATTAGTGATAGAAAAGTGGGGGCAGATGTCTGTTTTACTAACCTGTATAGTTCATTAAGGAAAACAGTTGAAGAGGAACCCATGGCAATTTTAGGGCTTTTTGTTCAATGTTCAGGGTAGACTTTGTCCAGAGTGTTTGCTCACTGTGCTTTCCCTTTTATCAAGAAAATGTCAGGTCTCTGTGCTTCTTTCCTGGGTTTCTGAGTGGGCCAGATTCCTGGAATGAAGCTCCTGGATACTGTCTGACTCATCCGGTTGCAGGAGAGGTGGGTGTTCCTGAGAAATACAAGAGGCTGGTTTCCAGAGCTGGTTAAAGTACTTGCCAAGTTTCTAAAGTGATTTGTAGTCTGGAAAATCTTTGCAGAGCATGAGGTTGCTGTTTTATCTGGCAGAGTAAAGGAAGATTTCCTTACCTCCTTCACAGTAAGGACATGTGTTGATAGAAAAGTCCTGCCCTCATCTGCATAACACTGCATTTTCTACTCTTGAGTTTTTAATTAACACTTCTGGTGCACAGAATCCTTGTATTCTGTTCTTTTCATGTGCCTGGCAAAGTCTGACATAAAGAAGAATCAGTTTTGAGAGGTTCTTTGTTCATCATTAAGAAAATTGTCCACTGTCATGGAGGGAATATCTTACTTCTTGAATCACAAATTGCATTCTTGAAGTAAAAAACAGTAGGTGCCAGAATGACATGTGCTCCCTGAATTGTCAGGCTATTTGAAGGGTTTTCAACAACCTTAGAGCCTGCATTGGTTCACTGCATCTGCTGATCTTTTAGGGCTATTATTGAAATAGCATATTGCTGTAAATCAGCCAGTACAGAACAAAACCACACCACTTTTCTTCCAAAGACCATTTGAACAAAATAAAATAGGCTGTGCTCTCAGAAATTACCATAGTATGTAAACAATCTGATTTTCATTAAGCAATTATCTGCTAGTTCTGAATAATAATGATATCCTTTTAATTATTTTGCAGTCAGTTGAGTGTGGCCTGAAGTTTTAATAACTCTTCTGTGTTTTTTCAGCTTTAGTAACACTTCCTGCAGTTGTAGATTTTACCAGGTATCTTCCTGAAACTTGATTTGAGATAATCCCTATAAAAATGTTACACACCCTAGAAAGAACTGATATACATTCATTTTAAGTTACTATAGGTGTATTTATATTGCCTACTTATTTCTTCTGACTACATTTGATTGCAGACTTATTAATGTACTCCCACTTTTCCCTCTCCATGATTTTACAAAATCAGTTTATTCTGGTGCATTTTTTTGCAGAAACTTCCAATGGTTGAGATGCTTGGTCTGACACAAGCACTTGTACTGCTTGTGCTCCTCTGCTCTTCATCCTTTTCCAGGACCTTTGCAATTACTTGCTAGCTGAATTCTGCAAGAAATTTCTGGTAACTTCAGGTACATTGACAGTGCCTGGTATGAATGTTGGAAAGATGTTGCCATTTGGAAGGAAAACAGGATATGTTCCTAGGATCTCCTGTGCCATGTGAATGAGAATATAGCAAACTAAGTATTTTGGCAAAGACATGTATGCATTTCTCTTGTTTAACTCACGGAACAAAATTACTGATCAAGGGAAAACCTTTAGGCAAGCTTTTTTAAAAGGACAATATTTTTGGGGGGGACCTGAAGCTTAAAATACTGTTCTTAAAAAACAGTATGCATTTAGAACTTACCTAAATTGTTTCTTAGTGTGTTTCAGTATCTCCTCACTCATGTACCTGTACACTGAAGCAAGACAAAAAGTCTTTAGTGCTCAGATATATCCCAGCCTGATGTGCAGCTGCATCATATCTTGAGACTGCCCCCCTAGGTGGCCTTGGAGACCCCAGCTGCTGTTGGGATCACTTTATCCATCTATCAAAAGTGAAAGCAAAGGAGTTTTTACAGCCCAGTATTAATTCTCAGAAGTCACAAGACAAGAGCTGAAGAGGGGTACTGTACTGAGAGCTGTGAGCCAAAGAAAGACTTGGAGCAGCAAGCAACATGTCCGGGAATATAAAGGAAGGATCCTGAGTGGGAATCTGTTAGTGTGTCCATCACTTATAGCAGTCTGTAATCCCACTGCCTGATTTTGCCAAGGTGTTCTGTAGCACATCATGCTAAAACTGATTTCTTTTATAAGTACTTTGATATAAGACAAAGGAGACTGAAATTTTGGTTGATTCCTCAAAAGAGCAAGCAGGTTGATATTCTAAATGATGTGTTCTCTTTTTGTTGAGAACCAGTAATTTTTTCACCCCAGAACATTTAAGAGTGAGAATTTCTTGGGTCTTTGACAAAATGATATAGTGAAAAAACAAAAAGACAAACATTATTTCTTGATAGAAGCTTTTTATCTTGCTCCTTCCTAATGATTTAATACTCACCCTTTGAATTTCTTTGAACAACATTAGCTGTGTAAAGGCGTGAGTGAATTTTATTTTCCTTCCTTTCCAAACTTCTTTCTTTGAGGAGTCAAACATGAGGCAGAGCTGTGGGTTTTTCCAAAAGGTATTTTAAAGTCTTAAGGTCTCTGGAAAGAAGAGCAGAACTTTGTTGCCGTGGAAGTGCCAAACCTGATGATGCCTTGTCACCACAATTAGTCTCAATTCTCAGCAGACCTTGAACAGCGTGATTGCAGATTCTTCCAGGAAATGAAATGCTGGCTGTCAAGCCAGCAAGTACAAGCAGCAAATGCATTTCAATTCTCTTCAGATTCCAGAAGAATCTGGACAGGTTCTCTGTCATATTAAATTTAAATACATATTAAACTAGGATGTATTACATGTAAATGAAACCAACTTGATCAAGTCCTGGGGTTTTGTGTCCTACAAGTAAAACAGTGTCACTCTGTTTCAGTACTGACTCTGAAAAAAACCTTTTTTACTCTTGAATCACTAACCTTATGGATAACCAGAGGATATTTTATAGCTATTAACACATAAAACTTAGTTTAAAAATGCAGTGTAAAGCTTGTGTAACAAAGCCTGTTTGTAACCTAGAGCACAGGACATTACTTGTCTCCAAATTCCAAATTTAAAACTTCATTTATAGCATGGATACTCTTAGCTAATAGCATTTATTTGACATGAATTTTTTTCCTGCAAGTCACTATTCCTACAACTAATGGAACAGAACCTTATACTTCATGAGTCGTAGTGATTTCTGAGCAGATATGTTTGAGCTATTAAATGAGTCATTATGCTGATTGTAACAGCTTTTCATATTTTCAGATACCAAGATGAAGCTATGGAAATATTTCACCTGCAAGAAAGAGTGTGCTGAACTCATTAGACTCTTCACTTTAGATAAGCAAGAAAGAAAACGATTAGACTGCATATTCTATTGATTGTTGATCTCTGCTGAAGTAGAGTTCTTGATGGACTTAAAAAATACAGTTAGAATCAAACATACATAGAAATCATAAAATAAAAACACCTTCTTGTTGATTTGCACTTCAGATGCAGTTGTAGAAGATGGGCTTTTCATCTTCTGTATCAGTTTGAGCTTTGTGAATCTTGACCAGAATCTCTTTCACACTGTCTTGCTCAAAGAGAGAGCAGATAGATAATGTTTAACTCTTGTTGGACAAAAGTAAGACCACCAAAGATACCTTTTCAGTTGCCCAAAGACCATTAAGCAAGTAAAACCTTCCCATTACTATTATCTCTGTGTTAAGGAATCAGCATCAACAAAAAAATGCATTCCAGATACTCCTCACCAAAAACTGCTATAAGAGCTTTTCACACCTGCAAGGTAAAATGAAACTAAAAATCTATTTTGCTAGTCACTGGTACTGATCAATAACCTAATATGAATGTTAAAGTCTCTGCTCTAGACATAGAACTCTCATCTGTGTCAGCTCTTCAGCTGTAATCTTAAATACTGTGCAAGACAATGTAGTATGTTCATAAAACTGTATTGCCTTAGGCTTTTCTCCCCATACTTACTGCTAACTTAATCGACGCAGTTGGCTGTGGCTAGCAGGAGCTGATTGTGCTATAAATGTTTGCAGCATGCAGGGTGCCTAGTCCTCTTTGAACTGCTTATGAAATTTGGATAGTAAACCATCTGTTCCTGGTGTTTTCCCAGGGTACAAATGGGATCCAGGAAAAACAGAATGTACTGCTAATTGTAAATCAGATATCACAATGGTGGTCAGACTCCAGGTCCCTCTAATACCTTAAAAGTCTTTAAGTTTGAACCACTTAAACACATGATGCCAGTAACATGCATGCAGAAAGTAATAAAGCTGGAAAAATAACGTGGTTCATTAGAGCCAATGCTTCTGTTCGTGAGCACCAGTGGGAGAGCTCTGCTTTATGTGGACTAATTATTATGTTCCTTCAGGAAAGGATATTACAGAAGTTTCTCAGAAAATGGACTATTTTTGAGACCTTATGAGTTAAAATGAAAGGCTCCATCTGAGCAGGAACTTAGTGTGTTGTGGCACCCCATGCAGCCCTTTGCCTGTAGAAGCATCCTGGGTCTGCCTGTTATAGAAAGCTGAAAAGGATTCCAGCGCTCCAGTGTGTGTCTGACTTGGCATGAGCAGTGCCATGACTTCTCCCTCATTGTGTGTGCCCATGGCTGCTGGGGATTTTAAAATGAAATTAGGGTGGTGGTGATGGGAGCAGGCTGTGACAGGAGCCAAGAAATTCATGCTCAGGGCTTGCTGAAGGGAGGCTCTGTAACAGGATGCCCAGGTTCTGGCAAAAAAGGAGGGAGGAGCCCTTTGGTGGAGTGCCTACCTGCTGTGCTGTCTCCAGGGACCATTCCTTACTGGGTCTTTTCAAAGAGTACCCAAGGCCTGGGCATGGCCTGCAGCTAGGGCAATAACATTGCTCTGTGGTACCAGTCTGCCTGGTTTGGACATTCTGGATCACTGTCTTTCTCCCAGGCTTGAGGTCATGGTCTGCAGCATCTCAGACTCTGGCACACAGCATCCCTACAGTATTCCCCACAGTATCATTGAAAGATCAGATCTTGAAAAGAGTAGTCTTCTCCCAGGACCTTGGGGTTTGATATGCAGAGCAGAAAAGAGGGGGTGAAATGAGGATTTTATTTCCGTTGGTAACACCAGACTTGGAAGCTCTGCATAACAAAATCCTAGTTTACATGGTATACAATTAGAGCACTGATAAGTCTTCACAATGCTGCAAGAACCTGGGAGGTATACATATGGTACATTATTCACAACAGCTTATTTGAGTGTGTAACATATGCCAAGCAAGATGACATCAGATCTCAAGAATCCACATTGCACATTGCTGAACTGATAATCCCAACAGTTGTGAAAAGTGGGAGGAAAAGGATAAATGCAGTTTTGAGCAGAGGGTGACAAAATAATTTCAACAACTGGAATATAAAAGAAAAAGTTTACTTGGGAAGTGAGGGAACTTGAATAGCCAAGAAACAGTCAGAGCTCTTGGAGTGTCAGTAAAACTGCAGGCATCTAGGATGGAGTTTGGCCACTGTTGCAGAGACTGAGCTTGTTTGCAGTGAAGAGAGAGATAATTTCATAGGGTTAGCATAAGCACAAAACATTTTCACAAACAAAACACTTAGTAAGGTGTTGGAGTTAGTACAGATTTATGTCATGAGCTGCTGGTATATTGAGTAGGGTACTCTAAGCCCCACAGTAGGTTTTACAATGAAATAGTCTCCAGGTTTGCTGGTTTGCTCCCTTCGGCATGGATTTATTCATCATTGCAACCCTAGTAGTGATGGTAATAGCTTCCACTGAAGTGGATCCAAGTATATGCTACTTAACATCCTTCCACCCACCACTGAGTGTGAAATAAAGGAATTGTTCAAGTGTATGAAGTAACTATTAAAGTCAGATTTGAACATGAAATGAGAAATCATTCTGTAGCCAACTGAAACAGCATGGAAAATTTGCAGAGATAAATGGTAACTGCCTGAATTGGAATCCATCCAGCAAATCCAAGCTAGCATCCTGATGCAAAAGCCTTACTAGACACTCACTCCTACACGATGGCACTCCTGAAATGGGAATAGCAGTAAGCAGTGAGGACTTCTCTTTAATGCCTCGTCAAAAACAGCACTGCTTGTAGCACACTCCAGCTATGTTCTTTTAAAGCGGACTTTGCTTAGTCAGCCAGTGCCATCACAAGTTGCAGCATGTACGTCAACCTTGGAGGATTGTTATCCAAATACTGTCCTGCTTCATTTTCAAGACATGCCAATTGATGGGGTGTTTGCCACTGATGTAAATTTTACTGCCTTGCACAGATAGAGCCCAGCTGCAGCAGTTTGAAGCTCCAGCAGCTCCTGGTCCAGAGGGAAGCTAGGTGTAGGCACAACCTTGAGGCAGCACTGTTGGGGGTGTCTGTGTCTGGCAGCCACAGCTGGACACACATGTAACATGATATCCAAAAGGCAGCACAGAGCTCCGTGGACAGCTGTGCTCTGACACTTACTAAGCACTGAACTTTTCCTGGAGCAATTCTGGCTGGTGGGAGTGAACTCATCAGAGAACCCATCACAGAACCATTTCAAACCATCATCCAAATACAAACCATTTCCACTCTCATCCAAATACTCATCACATTGGGCATCCTTTGGCATAACACTCAAAACAGTACTCCCTGGGAGCCACAAAGACCAAAATGACCTTTCCTTACACTGAAATGCTGAACAAAAACTCAGATACTGTCTCCATGACAGCAGTGGAATACACACATGGTGCAACTTTTGGGTCACAATGTCCATGTCCAGCCTGCTAACCCTTTAAGATGGTGCTGAGTATACAGATGAGTTCTTTCCTGATGCACGGATTTTTTTGAAATACTATCTCAGCTTCATTTCCCCTCTGTTCTAATTTTCATCTCCAGCTGACCGTGGAGACATCTAGATGTGACACCCTTGGTAGCTTACAAAACCAATGTCCACTGGAACATTTCCCTGGAAACCCCACCCCAGCCTCTCAGTGGGGCTGAAAGCCATGAGATGTATGCATGTAGAGTGGGAATCTGAGGTGTGGTTAAGTGACTGGCAGGTAGAGGATGACTAAGGCTCACTGTTTGATCGTAGACTAGGACTGTGCACAGAGCTACATCCCAGGCTGTGACACACTGGAGTTCTTCCTGCTGCAATGCCAGACTCCCCAGCCAATGCACATCAGTGTGCCTCTGTGAGACTAAGCCTCTTGTCTGCACAACTGTTCCTCCAGAGATATGACCAGCCCTCCCTGACTCTTAGCATTCAAAACCAGTATGACAAGCTCTGTCATTGTGGTTTTTTCTCTCTGAAACTGCTGTCTAAAATTCACACGTTTTTGCACAGTAGAATTCCTCCTGAGAGATAAAAAAATATCTGTAACTCTGTCTCTATTGTGCTCCATTGTCTCCTCAGTTTCCTCCCTGTAATGTTCAACCCAGGCAAATGGAAAAGACAAACCGCCTCCTAGATAGCACAGCGATAAAAAACAAACCAAGGCAAGTTCCATATTACATTTGAGTATACTGTCTTCCCTGTGGCTGCTGCTGAGGTCCCCAGGGTCTCTGAGAGGGCATAGAAAGTGCTGTAGCACGTGACATCTTCTCCTTAGGGACAGCATGTCTTCTTGACTGAGAATCAGATTAATCTTTTTCTTAGCTGTTTCCAGAAAAGCTCCAGTTCACCCAAGTACTGATCTAACTCTCTACAGAATTTACTGGTTGTGCCCAAAATAGAAGGTCTCTGCCTCACCATCTGGGCTGCCCAGTGGTATCAGAGAGGCTTGGGTCACACTTTGACTTGCAGGAGGATGTATTTCATGGTTGTCAGGTTGGGAGTTTAGCCACATTTTATTTCACCTTATTCTCTCAGCAACTGCTGTTCTGACTGACTGAGCAGGGATCTCCCTCTTCCCATATTGGACCTCTTCTGAGAGATCAAACAGGACCCCAGTCACCCTTTTCACCCCAGTCACAAAGAAACTTGACCTGCTGTCAAATAAGCATTTAGCATTAAGCTGTGAGCTTAGTGATGTTTTTTGGGTTTTTTTGGTGGGGATTTTTGGTCCACAGCATCAGTTGTGCAGTCATTTGGCAAATGGTCCTGGCACCCCAAAACTGACTTCAGGCTAACTGTGCTCTGACGTGAAGTGATAAATATCTCTTGCATGATCCTATGAACTCAAACAGGGATGGAAAAGAAACTGTTGAGGAAATAAATAGAAGATTTTGTGATGAACAAGGAAAACAACTTATTGAGGAGTAC